TGTATATAATCCTGAGTATCCCCACCTTTAATGTGTATATAATCCTGAGTATCCCCACACTGTTTAATGTGTATACCTTTAAAGGTGTGTATACTAGTATCCCCACCTTTAATGTGTATATCCCCATCCTGAGTATCCCCACTGTTGTAATCTTGAGTATCCCCACCTTTAATCCTGAGTATCCCCACCTTTAATGTGTATACAATCTTGAGTATCCCCACCTTTAACCTTATAATCCTGAGTATCCCCACCTTTAATGTGTATATAATCCTGAGTATCCCCACCTTTAATGTGTATACAATCCTGAGTATCCCCACCTTTAATGTGTATACAATCCTGAGTATCCCCACCTTTAATGTGTATACAATCCTGAGTATCCCCACCTTTAATGTGTATACAATCCTGAGTATCCCCACCTTTAATGTGTATACAATCCTATCCCCACCTTTAATGTGTATCCCCAGTATCCCCACCTTTAATGTGTATACAATCCTGTATCCCCACCTTTAATGTGTATCCCCACCTTTAATGTGTATATAGTATCCCCACCTTTAATGTGTATACAATCCTGAGTATCCCCACCTTTTAATGTGTATACAATCTTGAGTATCCCCACCTTTAATCCTGAGTATCCCCAGTATTAATGTGTGTATGCCCACCTTTACAATCTGAGTATCCCCACCTTTAATGTGTATACAATCCTGAGTATCCCCACTTATCCCCACCTGTGTGTATACAATCTTGAGTATCCCCACCTTTAATGTGTAATCCTGAGTATCCCCACTTTATCCCCACCTTGTGTATACAATCCTGAGTATCCCCACCTTTAATGTGTATATAATCCTGAGTATCCCCACCTTTAATGTGTATATAATCCTGAGTATCCCCACCTTTTTAATGTGTATACAATCCTGAGTATCCCCACCTTTAATCCTGAGTATCCCCACCTTTAATGTGTATATAGTATCCCCACCTGTAATGTGTATACAATCCTGAGTATCCCCACTTTTAATGTGTATACAATCTTGAGTATCCCCACCTTGTATATAATCCTGAGTATCCCCACCTTTAATGTGTATATAATCCTGAGTATCCCCACTTTTAATGTGTATACAATCCTGAGTATCCCCACCTTTAATGTGTATACAATCCTGAGTATCCCCACTTTTAATGTGTATACAATCTTGAGTATCCCCACCTTTAATGTGTATATAATCCTGAGTATCCCCACTTTTAATGTGTATACAATCCTGAGTATCCCCACCTTTAATGTGTATATAATCCTGAGTATCCCCACCTTTAATGTGTATATAATCCTGAGTATCCCCACCTTTAATGTGTATATAATCCTGAGTATCCCCACCTTTACTTTTAATCCTGAGTATCCCCACCTTTAATGTGTATATAATCCTGAGTATCCCCACCTGAGTTCCCCACCTTTAATGTGTAATCCTGAGTATCCCCTCCTTTAATGTGTATATAATCCTGAGTATCCCCACCTTTAATGTGTATATAATCCTGAGTATCCCGACCTTTAATATATAATCCTGTATATAAATATCCTGAGTATCCCCCTTTACCTGTTAAATCCTGAGTATCCCCACCTTTAAAGTGTATATAATTCTGAGTATCCCCACCTTTAATGTGTATATAATCCTGAGTATCCCCACCTTTAATGTGTATATAATCCTGAGTTTCCCCACCTTTAATATGTATATAATACTTAGTATCCCCTATCTTTAAGGTGTATATAATCGAGAAATACTGACTTTTCGGAATTCCTATTCTTCATTTCAATTGAAACAGGCTGAAATCAGGAAATAGCCATTCGTAATTTGGATTTGGCGAAGAGGTTTACTATCGTGTAAGTGTCAACCTTTTTTTAACAGAAAGGCAATCTTTGTTTATTTCATTTTATATCGTAAGACCGAGAATGATATCGTCATCAGTTATTATTGATCCCTAAACTCGAATATAACGTTAACGTGCTGATTTCTAATAGCTAAAAGCTGCGTAAAACTGAACTCGCTCAGTTCAAGGTAGTTAGTAGTTTTGTGGAACGAAATCTACCCGTTTGTTTGCCAAGTCGATATATCCATCATACCCCGCGCAGTGCAATAGTTAGCACTGTCAAGCCACAGGTCAATTTTAAACACATGAACGGACTATACTCGTTTTGTTTAATACGCTCATTCGGAGTGGTTTACAGATCGTTGGGTATATTGCTCCAGATGTCGTACTACAAAGGCAACAATGTACATGACAATATGTTTTTCTATAATATCATAGTAACCGTACAGTTACATGGTAAGAGCTGTATGGTGCCTGTATCCGAAATCGTAAAATAATTGACCAAAACAAAATGGTAACATTTGTTTTCAGGTTATGTTGTATTTCCTGGTAAATGCTTACTAAATGTGTTGATGTTTGGTTTTATCTTATTTATTTGTTTGCTTATTTATTTTTCTATTTATCTATTTGCCTATTAAATTACCAAGATGATAAACATTATCAGAGGGACATGCGAAAGTATACTTAGTTGTTTTTGTATGCTTGTAAATTGAAAGAACTGATGTTAAAACTGATGTCTGCATAACATATTCCTAACCAGTGTGTAAGTAGTGCTCTGTGGCTGGGTATGTGTAAATTACACCGTGAATACAACAGCATACCCAGCCTTACCATCCATGTCCGAGTAGCGGGATATATAGCTGTGAATGTTATGTGAATCGATCACTGAAAATCAGCGATGACACCAGGTGTTCGTAAAAATGGTAAACATATTCTGCACCACCGGTAGCACCGGGGGTACCCGCCAGTCACAAAATATTGCCCCAAAATGGAACCATTGTTGCCCAATGCTGCACAACAGTACTGATGTGACATGACGGCCTGTACATAATGCCAAACAATGAAGTGGTCCATGGCTCGGAAAATACAGTTGAATTACGATTGCTGTGTAAAAGTACAGAGATTCCGATGCTTAAAATAAACGCTGCCTCTGGGTGCTTCACGTGATATTCCCTATGGATGTTGTAATTTGCCACAACCCGAGATGGGGGTTCATGTCAGTAATGTGATAGTCCCCGGGGAAGACCTGTTAATGTTTGAGGAAGTTGTTTTTGCCTCTTTTATATTATAATGTTGTGTGATTTGTATACGACACCTTTCAGAATAAGCCACTGTGAATGAATATTCGAATAGACGCATGAAATTCAGATTTCGGGAATAACGATTTCCATCGTGCCTAGTATTGTATGTCCTGATGGGGTCTAAGGAATACAGTCCAGGAACGGACGAGTTCCTGATCATGTCCCAGTGAGTCAGCTCAAGCACATCTGCAGTGATGATACCTTTTGCACGAGTTCTTAACGAAAACATTTACCTTTAGATTCGACCAAGTTGTCATGCCGTTACCACTGATATATTACTACATGAGCTTAACTTCCTGACACAATGTGTTAAGCAGACGGACAACCAGCCTCCAGGCTTTATGTGACAGGCTTTAATATCTCAGAAATCTGAGATGTGCAGTAAGGAGTGAATCGACTAATGGCAAATGTTTGATTAAAAGTCTCCTTTTCTGGGGATTGCGTGGTTATTCTTGAACATGACGAGTTGTGTTATCCTTACTATCCTTTCCAGTGAAAAGACTTTCAGAAACACTGTACATGTACATCATTCCTGTATGAATATCTGTACCCATCATCTCGTACCGCTGGTTGGTAAGATATACCGGGATATTAGCGGCACATTAGCTGGGATTTGCACATCTCAAAATTAGGTATACTTATGGACTGAAATCACATCTTGCAATAGAAAAGTGATATTATCTGTACAGCCCACATATCCTGATACACATTACATTAGAAATTTGAATTACATTTACGGCCCACAGATCTGGGTACATCAAACTATAGATGTGAAAGTACATTTACAGCTGGCAAGTCTAGGTACATAATTATAACAATATAAAGGTGAGCGTACATTTACAGCTGACACGTGTGGATACATATCACAAGTGAGTGAGGTAAAATTTAACGTCACATAGGCAATTTTTCAGCCATACCGTGACGAGTATTTGAATATAAATATATATTGGGGTCAGGATTAAGATATCTGTCAGCGATGGACAGTAGAATTTCTAGAGTATTACAGGTATGACGTAAAACGAGTTGATAGCATTTAAAAGAATAGATTTGTAAACAACAACACATTGTACAAATGGGCTATAGATCTCCAGCTATAGATCTCAAGCAACTGAAGGTAGATCACCATACTAGGGACCATGGGGACTTACAGACCCTTTGCTACCTGCATGGACCCTAGCTCGATTTATAGCATCCCTTCAGCCGCTGGCGATTATATTCGAATTTACCCACTTAAAAGAACAAATATACTTCGATTAAGAAACTGGTAGATACAAACATACCTTGGGAGACATGGACATGCGTAGCACTTGTCACAAGAGAGATAAAACTGAAATCTACTCACATAATATATCGTTACAAATACTGAAGATAATAAACTGTATGAAGTAATTTCTGTTTGATTGAACAACTGTTCTCCTTAACGTTCAAGGGTAAACGTCTTGTACAGTGATCGTTCCGATTTTTCTTTGATACTTTAATCGAAAAACCCAAAACAAATGCCAGCTAGATTTTCTAGACCATACTTTTTTCTGTTCATTGTAAAATCAAAATATGAACAAATCACACAACTGTAAATAAATTCCTTAAGGAAAGTAAATTAATGCTCATCCTATGTGTCTAGAAAAACTAGAATAAAGTCCATTTCAGTGAGAAAATCAAAGCATAAAATCGACAATAGCCCTCAACAGCAAAGCAGTGTTGTTTTAAAGAACACGTCCACATCGGTTCCACATGGAAACAAGGTCATTCAAATTACTTTCCTTGCTGGATAAATGTATTGTACTTATTGACACGAACACGTGATATAATTATTGTTGACATGATCTGTTAGCGTTTTTAACGCTAGGCTCATGCATTTGTTTCCTCAAGTGTCATGGACTTCATTGAAAGCATCCTGGTCTTCTTTGACGGCCTTCTCTCTTCATATCGACGTTTACATGGGCAGAACAGAGCTTGAAAAACTAATCTGAACTTTCTGCCGAACATACAGTAAAGGATGAAATTTGTTGCTGAACAAACAATGATGAGCGTATCCCCGAGTGATGAGACACGTGAACATGCAGCTGAACAGTCACCAAGCCTCTTAGCATTCTCGGTCTGCTCCAGCACCAGGGCCACAGCGGGAACCAGATGACAGAGGAAGAATAGGCTGGTAACAGCCAACACGGTGCCACATAATTTATTTCCGGTTCCACTGGAAGATCTGTTGCCCACATTTACGTTAAGTTCAATGACGGCTTTTGATTTGTCGTGTTTCTTATAACCCCTAGTAACATTTCGAAGTGTGTGAATCATGAGAACATTAAACACAGCGATGAGAGTGAATGGTATGGCAAAATGTACTATAAAATTTATATAGATAAGATACACTGTATAGAATGCTGTGTCATAGAACACCGACTTAGTGACACTGATGGTAGGAGAACCTAATTTGAGACTGTGTTCCATGCAGCGAGGTATGTTGAAGATGACGCTGAAAATAAAGATTGCCACCAGAATTTGGTTGGTCCGTTTCTGAGTGAAGACAACTGCTGCCTTGAGAGGTTTGACGACTGCCACACATCTCTCTACTGTGACCATCACTGTTGTGTATACTGACCCGGTGCGGGATATGTGCAGCAGCGGGTAGAAGATGGAGAACATGACTGCCCCAGCTGAGCCAAGTTGTATCCCCATGTGATGGAGGACGTGGGGTAGGTTCCCTGCCACACCATGCGAGAAGAGGAAGACGGTATCATAGACAGCCAGACCCACAAGGAGACGACACACAGACGCAGAACCGCGTCTCATCTGCTTGCTACTTAGCACAAACACAGACAGAATATTGCCCACAATGCCAAGTACAACAAAGACCGAAGCCACCAGTCCAGCTGTGTAGAAATGGAACAATTCATTTGCCGCGGCTACTTGCTGCTGCTGGACATCAACTGGCGTGTACTTGTGTTCAGGAGGAAAGGTTATTGAGATGTTCATGCTAAACTCTTGCTGAGTTGTTGTTTGACGATGTTCCCTTCCCTCGCGGGAATCCATTATCAAACGGCCAGTGTATTTACTCTGCAAATGAATACAAATGTACTAATTTAGTTAAGAAATATATTCATTTAGAATGTGATGAAGCACGAAGCACGTATGTGTACATATATATATATATATATATATATATATATATATATATATATATAATCACTATATTATCACATATAACATACTCAGTCATATAACTGAGCCTCTCGTTATCAAAGTTCATTATCACACTAGTACCCAACATACTGAATTATATATAATTAAATGTTTGCGTCGCATCAGCAATATTACAGGAACCTAGCAGTGAAAACAATGAATTCGTTTCAAAATATTTGTCGACAGAGAACAGTAGAACAGGACAGGACAGTTCCTCATGCATACATGCATTAAGCTGAACAGGACAGTTCCTCATACATACATGCATTAAGCTGAACAGGACAGTTCCTCATACATACATGCATTAAGCTGAACAGGACAGTTCCTCATGCATACATGCATTAAGCTGAACAGGACAGTTCCTCATACATACATGCATTAAGCTGAACAGGACAGTTCCTCATACATATGCATGCTGAACAGGACAGTTCCTCATACATAGGACAGTTCCTCAGTTCCTCATACACACATGCATTAAGCTGAACAGGACAGTTCCTCATACATACATTTTGCAGGACAGTTCCTCAAGCTGAACAGGACAGTTCCTCATACATACATACATGCATTGCTGAACAGGACAGTTCCTCATACATACATGCATTAAGCTGAACAGGACAGTTCCTCATACATACATGCATTAAGCTGAAACAGGACAGTTCCTCATACATACATGCATGCATTAAGCCTCATACATACATGCATTACATGCATTGTTGAACAGGACAGTTCCTCATACATACATTAAGCATTAAGCTTAAGAACAGGACAGTTCCTCATACATACATCATTAAGCTGAACAGGACAGTTCATTACATGCATTAAGCTGAACAGGACAGTTCCTCATACATACATGCATTAAGCTGAACAGGACAGTTCCTCATACATACATGCATTAAGCTGAACAGGACAGTTCCTCATACATACATGCATTAAGCTGAACAGGACAGTTCCTCATACATACATGCATTAAGCTGAACAGGACAGTTCCTCATACATACATACATGCATTAAGCTGAACAGGACAGTTCCTCATGCATACATGCATTAAGCTGAACAGGACAGTTCCTCATACATACATGCATTAAGCTGAACAGGACAGTTCCTCATACACACATGCATTAAGCAAAACAGGACCGTTCCTCATGCATACATGTATTAAGCTAAAGAGGACAGTTCCTCATACATGTATTAAGTGAAACAGGACAGGACACACATATATATATTAGACAAAACGGGGAAATCCCGTATTTATACAAAGCTCACAAAGACGGGTATCTATTTTATGTGATATAGGTGCGTTGGTATATACTTGGCTCAGATGTATTCATTATTTGATGTATAGCATCAGCTTCCATGATACACCGATATGAGGCTACGCTCCTTATTTTGGCGATGAAGATACAATATTTGTTTTATCAGGGTTATTAAGGTTGTTTACAGACCGAAGTCATGCATCTGTAATATTGCTGAGTGTGACGTTAAACAAACAGACACAAGCTCATAATATTGTCGGAATAGTACAATCAAATCTACTTCATTTTGTGGATGTGGAAAGGGTTTATATATATTTGAAGAACCCTAAGTATCGATTTTACCAAAACGTATGGCTTTTGACGCCCCGGAAGGCAAGGTTGTTGCTGGCGGTCAATGGCGCTAAAGATACGCTTAATGTCCTTTGAGGTTTCACCGTATTGTGACTAAGTACAACGTGTAGTGAACTGCCTATGAACAGGACGAACGAGTTGCAATGATGATGTCTCATGATTCGTTAGTGCCATGGTACAGAACTCAGAACTTTCTATTGTACCATTCAGCTGGAAAGTCAGTTACGTCTTGTCTGAGGACCACCAAACAGGTTTGTCTGATGTAGAACTGAGAACCTTCTATTGTACCATTCAGCTGGAAAGTCAGTTACGTCTTGTCTGAGGACCACCAAACAGGTTTGTCTGATGTAGAACTGAGAACCTTCTATTGTACCATTCAGCTGGAAAGTCAGTTACGTCTTGTCTGAGGACCACCAAACAGGTTTGTCTGATGTATTGTTTGCTTTCGGTTAAAATAATGTCCATTACACGTCCAGATACAGAACATAATACTCATAACTACATGTAGCCGAATGTGTAAAGGTTAGTGAAGAGATAGAGCATGAATAATAATGTAAATGGTAATTTGGTCAAAATGTGTATGTAAAGGTATGATGTAATAACTAGCATTCAGCCACAGGCTTCTTGAACAGTGGTGTAAAACACACGGATGCTACACACCAGGTGTAAGCAGTCCTCAATGAAAGACTTTTGTGATTGTTATGTTGTGGTCCTGGCTTTTAATGTCTATACAAGAGAGGTTTGATAATCATGAGCATTTTGGATTTTCCTTGAAGTGTACGAAAAGGAAAAATCCAGATATCCGGATATTCAGTTATCTGGACGATTTACGAAAAACGAATTTGTCCGGGTATCCGGGCTCTCGTTGTACTTGTATGAAATCTGAATCTTGAAGTCAAGTCAGGATGCCCCATCTACCATACTCAATGTCAATATTTGAATATTTCTGAAATATACTAACGTGTCTGTTAACTCTTTGTTCTGATTGTTTAACCGAGACAACACAATCCGACTCAAGCCTGACTGAAAAAAGGACAAGAGTAGCAAGTTAAGAGAAACACGTTCTGTTTTATCGATTTGAGATGTGTTTATCACGCTTTGTTTCTTAATTCAACGGTCTCTGCCCTGGGTACGCATGCCACAAGTGATGCGGCTCGATGTTTACATTTTGCAAACGTATTATAGATTTGGTCATTATAAGATCACGTGGTCTAAGCTTGATGATAATCTATTAAGAATTATGTCAATGAAAAGATTATAAAACCTTTTTCATTTCATATCACATACGATTTCAAGTAAACATGAATCCTCTCGGATTCTAATCTAATAAATCTAAGATGAAATAGCGAGAGACTGCATATCTACGTGTTATTGTACGAGCTATTGCACCAATTTACTTGTCATAAAGATACAGGTATAACCGGAGCAGTAATAACACGACATACATACGGGCTCCAAACACGCACGAACGCACGTACGTATGTATATATGTGTGTATCGCAGCATCTATGGTTTTTAACCCCAAAATAGCCGTTTACATTTGTATCCGAATCATATTTATCATTATTTTGTTCACCGTTTGGGCGTAACATACACTGATTTTAGATATGCACGTGCTAAAATCAGCGGCGAGCATCACGTGTAATACGTGTGTCCGTCATTAAGCAAATATGAAATTGAAAGAACTTATTCTATAGTTACAGCTCGAAAACTTGGAAAAACAATTGATTTCGTTGATGATAAGCAGATTTTGGGTCTCTTCAACTGACATTTCTCAAAGGTGGCATGTTATCCGTATGCAGAATGTTGGCACGTCACTGGGGGCTATTGCAAGAGATCTCCCACTACTGGCATTCTCTAATGTCTCTGAATCTCCATTAGTCCCGAAACATTCAAACGAAAATTTTAATTTACCAGATTTTTAAATGTAGTATTTTGGTTATTTAAATTTTGGTTAAATTTATTGATTTTAATATTGATATCAATTAAATTGTTCTCGTCACGATATGGCTGAAATATTGCCGATGTGACGCTAAATACTAACTCACTCACTCATTCACTGAATCTCCATTAGGATTGAGACACAATTCATATTCGTTATAGAACACTTCACATTGCCAGACAATCAATGTATACGGATCTTCCATGCTGTACCTAATAAATACGTTGAGCGTGACGAAAACAATGATGTTTATGTATGTCTTAGTTATACATAACATTTAAAAGATGGAAATGTATTTTGGACATGAGATGTCGTCAACAACCCACGGTAGTTCAATGTTACTGCTTGAGTATAGCTTTTGGTATCCTTGGTGCCGCCTGTTGGAGACCAACGTGCATTTGGCATCGTCCTCGTTGACGCTTCATGGTGGGTGGGGAGCCAGGAGGGTGAACCACAAACTATATAATCATGGCTTCACGAAAAAACAACAACAACAAAACAACAACGTTATCATGTAGATGACACGGATGATGAGAAAGATACAATTACCAGACTATGTTATTCGGAACATGAAACCTGGCCTCGATTTATTGTTGCAGAATCTAGTGAGAAAAAGTTAACATATAGTTCTCCTTTTCTATTAGAAAGAGATATCCAAGGTATTGCTGGAACCGTGAAATATGTGACCAAACTAGATCTGGCTCAATTCTAACAGAATGCGTGAAGAGAGAGCAAGCAGCTAATCTCATGGGAAGCAAAATCCTTTGCAAATGTCCCTGTAAAATGTTATCCACACAGGTCTCTGATCTTCAGCAAATGAATTATCCGAGACAAAGATAGGAGTCTAGCTGATATCGCCACGGATGACACAGTAAGTCAGTTACCGATGCAGTGTGTAGTTGAGGAGGAGCGTTTCACATTTAAGAAAGATGGTGTCTATTCACCTTCAAAACTTATTTGCTAACGTTTGATATTCCAAAGACGCCCCAATCTATTAAAGACGGATGCTTGTCTATGAAAACTGACCGTTATATGCCTAATCCTCTCAGATGCTTTAATTGCCAGACATTTGGCCACGGACAAAACTCATGCTGCTTGCTTACGTTCCGGTAGCAAGGATCACAACAGTAGTGAATGTGCATCTGAATGATGTGTTATCTGCTCTGGTCCACGCATGTCCTCCTCTAGAGACTGTATTGTTTGACAATTTGAAATGACTGCACAGCGCATCAAAACAGAAAAGAATGCCAGCCTTTCAGAAGCAAAGAAGTTGGCTGCTTCAGCTACACCTTCCAGCAACACTT